GCCCGAGCGAGCGAGACCGGCAGTACTGCGAGCTGTGCGGGAAGATGGAAAACCTGCTGCGCTGCAGCCGCTGCCGCAGCTCCTTCTACTGCAGCAAGGAGCACCAGCGCCAGGACTGGAAGAAGCACAAGCTCGTATGCCAGGGCGGCGAGGGCGCCCCGGGCCAGGGAGCAGGCCAGCACCCGCACTCGGGCCCCGTGCCGCCGGCCGCCGCACCGCCGCCCAGGGGTGGCGGGGCCCGGGAAGCCAGGAAGGCACTGCCGCGCCGGGACGGTGCTGCCGCCGCCGCTGCTGAGGCCGTGGGCCCGCGGGCGGTCGGAGACACGACCAAGGCAAAGCCCAAGCCCAAGCCCAAGCCCGAGGTCGCTTCCCCGCCGAGCTCGGCTCCCGGCGCTCCGGGGCTGGGAACGGCGGGCGAGACGGAGCCCGCGAAGGAGGAGCCGCTGGCCCGCCCGTCGCTGTACCAGGAAAAGGCGAACCTGTACCCTCCGAGCAACACGCCGGGCGAGGGGTTGAGCCACGGCGGCGGTCTGCGGCCCAATGGGCAGACGAAGCCGCTGCCCGCGCTGAAGCTGGCGCTGGAGTACATCGTGCCCTGCATGAACAAGCACGGCATCTGCGTGGTGGACGACTTCCTGGGCAAGGAGACCGGCCAGCAGATCGGCGACGAGGTGCGCGCCCTGCACGACACGGGCAAGTTCACCGACGGGCAGTTGGTCAGCCAGAAAAGCGACTCGTCCAAGGACATCCGAGGCGATAAGATCACCTGGATCGAGGGCAAGGAGCCCGGCTGCGAAACTATTGGGCTGCTCATGAGCAGCATGGACGACCTGATCCGCCACTGTAACGGGAAGCTGGGCAACTACAGAATCAATGGCCGGACGAAAGTAAGTGTGTGCTCAGCCAGGGTTTGCGTTGGACATCCCTCGCTGGGCGGGCCGCTCCCCCTTCCCGCGACGGCCACCACTTGGGGTGAGCGTGGTTGTTCTGTGTAAAAACGATTTTCTTGTATAGCACCCGGTGATGGAGTAGGTGCTTGATCTATTAGCCGGTTCTCTGTGCCCACTGTTTTCCATCTACTACTCTTTACCAGCTTGTCTAATCTGCTTGGTTTCCTGGCCCTACTGAAACTTTCCCTTTTTCTCGGCTGTTTTCTCTCTTCCATAAGCATCCTTAGCTAATTCGAACCTCACTGGAATTTCAGCCGCCCCATGGGGTATCCTCTAGAGTACTACCCAAAAGAGGTGCCAGTTCTGCCTCTGCCTTGTGTTTGCACACTGGTAAATACTCTATGGTGTCTGAGCCACTCGCCAGATTCTAATTTACACAGTCCACTGTTGTGTTAAGAATGTGCCAGTCTTTTAACACACACACAAAAAGGAAAATTTAAAATAAGCGTTTAGCCAGAATGCTCCCCACATTCTCGGAGAGCTTGGTTGCTCCCCTCCCCCTCCCTCTTACTGCTCTTTTGCTCTCCCAGCCCCTTCTGTTCAGAAACCCACTCCCAAACGAGGAAAGAAGTATTTCCGCTTTCCAACCTTTTAGTGTAGGTAGGTTACATTTTTAGCATAGGTTTCCTTTATTTGCTTTGTTAATACAACCCTCTGTTGAAAAAGAACCGGTTTGTAGCTTCCTGGAAAAAAAACAAGGAATTGAAGCAGGAGGGAGGTCTCATTCTAATGTCTCAATTTAGTGAAATCTCTTTGTTTTCTCTTTACTATTGTAGTTTTTCTCCAGCAGATTCTTCAGTTCCTACCTAGTCTAGTACCTCTTCCCTCATCAGTAAACAGTACTCTTTTCTCCTTAATACGTTCTTGTCGTTCTTTTTCATTTTACTTCCCAGATCTTAATCTTTTCTTTGTATCCAGCTCCACCCCAAGCCACCCTGCTCCACCCTCTTACACCATCAATCTGTCTGATTTTGTGAATTTTGAGAGGTTTTCTTCGGAGATGATCACATGAGCATGTTGGTACACACACTGACTCTTCCCAGTATTTCTTTCATGTGTATCAGATCGTTTATTTTAACTCTCAGACTGCCTGGATTTTGTGGGGTGAAATACAATAAAGTCTCATTCATCCAATTACCATTTCAGAGTTGGATGAAGGCACATGTCTTAGTTTCATAGTCACTAAAAAGTGAACGGCTGCTTAATATTAAGCTGGAAGAGAAAGGACACTGATTAAACCTCAATCTTTAATGAGGTTTTCAGTTACATATTAGAACTTTTGTCATGGATCAGATCTGCAATAAAATCTTGAACCCTGTAGCGGGAAAGGAACAAGCGTGAATGACTATTACTCTAGCTCTGGAAGACTGTAAATTCTACAGTTTGGGCATCGCTTAAGTCATGGAGAGGATAATGTCCTAAGACTTCTTTGCTCTCCTTTCCTTAGTTAATTTAACTCCCTGGTTGTATGTCCTCTTCTCTCCTATCTGCCTGTCTTTACTTGTTCTCAGCAAAGGAAGAGCAAGCATTCAGCCTCATTTTTAGAGCAGTTGCTTCTTATGGAGCGGCTATTAGAAAATAGCCACCTCCCTGGTTTAGGTGTCAGTGGCTGAAGGGAACAGTAATTGAGATTCTAAATCTCTTAACTACACATATCATGTGATGAGGGAGTAGCTGCAGGAAGGATGTATTTTAAACTCTTCAGATTTGACCTTAAGTTTATGTTATTTTTAGGGAAATAATTTCAGGATCTATGAATGATCTTAGGGAATCCCTTTCATTGTACTTCTTGACTGGGAGAGTTTCTAGTAATTGTATTTGATCATGTAATTTAAATACTTCTTTAAAAAACAAGCTGGCTTTGGGGGAATTGGAAAATAGCCAAATTACCAGACACCACATTTTGAGCAATCATAGCGTACTAGATGCTAGATTAGGCTCTATGCAAATACCATCATAACAATCTTAATCCTGTGAGCTAGGTGGCATGTCTAATTTATATTTCAAGTTTGAGGACATTGAGACTCAAGAGTTGGCCAGAGACTAGTGATAACCAAGCTGAGATTCGGTTTAGGTTATTCACATACCAATTCTCATGCTTTTTCTTCTTCACAGCATATATGTAAGATATTAGCTGAAGAGATGTAGATTACTTAGTATACTACTGTGATTAAAACTTGATGTCCATATTTTGTTGGTAATGAGGAATAGGATTAGCCTTAACGTAATTGCACTTTATGTTTGGACTATATAAACTTTTACTTGTGAGTATACAATGTTTATTTCAGATAGTGACAAAAAGCCACTTTATATTTACCCACCTGACTCATGCTCATTTCAGTATAACTCTTGAGAGAGCATAGTACAAGTATTCTGTCTTAAGAGTTATACTGAAGTGAGCATGATTTGTGATTGCACAGAAGTTACTTCAGTTAAGATTTTTATTACCCTTTACAACATTAAAGTGATTTGCAGTTATGTGCCTCAACTTGCAACATAGAAACCATAGAAAGGTTTCAGGGGCTCCCTGGTGCACAGGGGCTAAAGTCTCTGCACTGCCAAGCTTCACCAGTGAGTTTAGTCCCCTGCCAGGGGGACTCACATGGCACAACAGACCTCTCCTGTCTTCCCCGCTGCCCCCCTCAGCAGTGTATTTCGGTGGATCCGCCTGTTCTGCTCCCCATTCTATCTCTGGTGAATGCTCTCACCCCTACACCTCTGGCCTATGCCCCAATTTTTGTATGCATAGATAAATAAAAAATCTTTAAAAAAAGAAAGGGGAGGTTCCAGGTTCCTTGTCACAACCACCTAAGAAAAGGTGATGCTGAGCAACAAAGGGAAGCTAAAAAGGACGTAAGAGAGAAGGCTGGAGGGAAGAAGACCAGGAGATGAAGACCTGGAAGAGGCACACGAAACAGAGGGACATGTGAAGAATCAGCCACACTTGCCTCTTGGCCTGGGACTATCACCAAAAACTTGGGGATGGAAAGAGGCACTTAGAGGAGGCATGGGTGAGAGACCGTGGGGAGGCTGACAATGGCACCCTTATTTTGACTTGTATTTTGATTTTGCTCTTTTTCCTTCTAGATTTGCCTGGCTCTTTCTGCCCCATTACTGTGGTTCCCCACCAGAAGGTGCCTTAGCCCTGCGGCAAGCTGTGGGGCCTCAGTGACCCTGCTTTTAGCCAACACTATTTTAACTGTATTCCTCTTATCTCTGTTGTGTACTAATTCTGTTAAGGTTCTTTTCTGTTGAAGGTCTTATGCATTAACAGTATATATATATATTTTATGAGGCAGGTGGCAGAACCCACTTAGAATGTGCAGGTTTGGGGGTCCTAGAGTGCCCTTCAGTTTACCCACTAACAAAATGTATAGTGTTTTTCTCACTTAAATTTTTGTAGCACCCCTGTAAAATGTGTAGATCGTCAGTATATTATCCCTATTTATTATTTAGAGAAGTAAGGCTCATGAAAGTTTACCTGTTGGGAATCATGCAGCAGAACGAGACTTAAATTCACATTTTCTGACTGAAAATATGATGTTCTGTTTCATTTGTTTTATATGGTCTTTGTGTGTGTCAGTGCTTTATAATAAGGTATTGTCTATGGCTCATTCAGTGTAGGCTTAGATTTCCCTCAAGTTTCTACTTCAGACTTTCATATCTGGCCACTCTTTGTCCATCAACTTTATAAAAGGAACTACAAAGGAAGGATGAACTAATACAGGAGAAAAAACAGGAACACACTTGTTTCCACTGAGTTCTAGTTTCTACTTTCTCTGGTCCTTTTTGGGGGATTCCCCTTCCACCCCTTTGCCCTTTAATCCGTTATTCTTTCTCACACCCCTTTCCATCAAATTTGCAGTGAAGACCAGTAGGAAGAACTTGCGATTTGCTGATTTATAAAGAGTAGTGTATGGGCTATAAGAAATCATAGGTGCCATTACTTGGAGGTAGAGAAAGAAGAGCAATGCAGAGGAATAGGATCATGGGGAAATGTTGAACTATTTATGTGGCGTTTCTTAGCCGCTATGAAGGAAAGAGTTTACCTACATAAAGAAAAATGCTATGGCATCAGAACCATGTTTTCAGAATTTAAAATGTATTGAAGTAGGGCCCTCCCTGGTGGCGCAGCGGGTTAAAGCACCGCACTAAGAAGCTTAAGCCACTTCCGCATGAGTTTGATCCCCACCTGCCCCGGTGGAAATCCACATGGCGGCAGACCTCTCCTGACCCGCCTGCTGCTCTCCTCAGCAGTGTACTTCGTCGATCTGCCTGTTCTGCCCCCCAGTCTGTCTCTGGTGAATCCTCTCACCCTTCGCATCTCTGGCCTGTTCCCCAGTTCTGTATAAATAAATAAGTCTTAAAAAAGATTAAAAAAGCCCTCCCTGGTGGCGCAGCGGGTTAAAGCACTGCATTAAGAAGCTGAAACCACTTCCACATGAGTTCGATTCCCGACTGCCCCGGAGGTGACCACATAGCATGGCAGACCTCTCTCTCCTGGCCCGCCCGCTGCTCCCCTCAGCAGTGCACTTCGTTGATCTGCCTGTTCTGCTCCCCGCTCTGTCTCTGGTGAAGTCTTTCGCCACCCCTGAGTCTCGGGCCTGTACCTCAGTTCTGTATGCACAAATAAATCTTTTAAAAAAAATAAGATTAAAAAAGATGTATTGAAGTAATAAAATAGATTCAGATCAATAAGGACGTTATATTCCTAAGATTTTTCACCAAAAGACTCTAGTCAGTTCTGGGAATAGGGAAGTGCAGAAAGGTGTGAGAATTCACCAAAGACAGAGCAAGGAGCAGATCAACAGATCTATTGAAATGCACTGCTGAAGGGAGCAGGGGGTAAGACAGGAAAGATCTGCTGCATCCTGTTGGTTAGCTAGCTCCCTGGTGGGGGATTGAACTTGTGCTGCAGTGGCTGCCCATGGCTTCAT